CAAAATAAATTAAGGCGTTTCTAAAACTTCTTCATAGCCAGATAATATTCTGAAACAGATTTTTGACTCAGAGTTATCAATATCCATATTTTTATCCAATGCTATTATTCCCTCTGCTATCAAGTATTTTGATAACGCTATACTTCTTTACACAGTGTTCCACTCTTGTGATTAGGATTTGCTTGAAAGCCACTGACATCAACTTTATAGTTTGATGCCATTTTTTCAGCCTTCCAAAGATCTCGATGGAGAGTTTTCAGACAACAGTGAGTGGTTATAACCCTACTTTAGATGGTTGTTAAATAATTTGTTCAGTAAAAAAAAAAAAAGTTAATGCCAATAACCAAGTTCACACATGCTCAGGCAATGACAGTAACAACCACGGCATCAACGACACCTGCTAATTTCAGAAATGTGGAAATGTACTTTTTACGATGGAAGAAACACAGAACCATGACAATGAAGGGACTTTGCCCCTTTTTTTTCCAGAATGTAACAAAGATTTGGTCATCATTTCAGAAAACCTCATCACCAAGGCGAACACTACTAATGGTATTTGAAGGACAAGTAAAACATACCTTTATCCATGGTGATTTTATCAATGGGTGTAACTTTTCTAACTACATTGTCATTTTTCATAGTGTAAGCATATTAATGTCTTTACATATTAAAGCAAACATTATAAAATGTTTCTCTTTATATTAATGATTATGTTTGTGTTTTTCTATTCAGATGTATAGGTGGGTTATATTGATGAATTTCATTTCCAGAAAGTAAAAACTGTTTTGGAAAATATCTTTTATAAAAAGGTGACATTGGGTCTGATTAGGTTGAGAAAATACTGAATTTAGTGGTCATGAATAACCCTTTTCCTCGAAAAGAAAGCAAATCCTGGGGCACTTACCTAACAAATATAGATATGTTTGTGGGTTGGGGAGCAGGGAAGGAGGCAGAAAATTATGTGTGAATTTACTATTAAGGGAGATTAATTTTATGTCTTTATTTTAAGAAAGTGAGCTTACAAAGAACTCTTGAGTCAAACTAGTTGGATTAATGGGGTCTACATATTGTACGTTATTTGAGTGACTCACTCTCTTTGCCTCAGCTCCCTACCTACCGAGTAAAATGAAAGTATTAATAGCATTAATTTACAGGATTCTCATGTGAACTAAATGATATAATACATAGAATGGTGTTTACAACAGTGGTACATCAGAATCAGTAAATGTGGGGAAGCTATCATTAACTATAATAATAAAATATCTGAACTTACCACCTGAGAAATCCTTCTTGAAGAATCTATGATTTCTTGATATGATGGAAAATAATTCCATGTTTTTTGTGAATGCTTTCCCACAGAACCATATTAGAAAAGATTAGACTATCTTTTGGGTTGTGGGATTTTTTTGCCAATTGCTACAGAAATGCCCTGGGTCATACAAGTATATCTTATATTCCAAACTGCAAAAAGGTGCTATATGAATGAAGCATAGCTGAGATCTATCCCCATCACATAAAATATAATGTGAGATAGATACACTATTCATTTTTATAAGATCACTAAAAGTTTAATTTCATGCAAATCAACAAACACCATTAAGGATGGACCAACATCTTGGTTCTGTGCTATGCTGAGTGAATACAAAAGAAGCAACTGTGCTCCTACCCCATGCTGGGATGCTGAGTATAACTAAGTGCTAAATTTCATTATACTGCTAATTTAAACTGTTGTTGAAATTCAGAGGAGGAAGATTAATGAGCTGTAGGGTGGCTAAGGAAAGCTGCCCCCAGGAGAAGGGAGAGGGAATGTAGCAATTTTTATATATATGATCTTGTTTAACTTAACCTCTTAATGTTACTATTTTCTCTTTCATGAAATTTGACAATTTAATGCATGTAAAATGTCTAGCACATTCTAAACCAAGGTAGATTTGTGTTGGGGTCATAGAGAATGGGCAATATATGCTGAAAAGAACCACATATCCATTTTAAGACTTTAGATTCAAAAAGACAAGGAAAAACTTCCACAAGTAATAACCCTACTATAATGGCACAATTTTCTGTGGCAAATAGGAATCACTTTTTTTTTTCCTGCATGGCAAAACTCCCTGAGCACATGAGTCTTGGTACATGTTGAAATCTTAGAGTTGCTTCCTTCAAGCAAAAATTCTCTCTTTAAAAAAATAAATGGTGGGCCTCCCTGGTGGCGCAAGGGGTTAAGACGCAAACTATGAAGCTGTCCACAGCCCCTGCAACACTAGTTCGATCCCCAGTCCTGGAGCTACTCACATGGTGCACAGACCTCTCCTGCCTCACCTGCTGCTCCCTTCAGCAGTGTATTTCAGTCAGTCTGCCTGTTCTGCTCCCCAACTCTGTCTCTGGTGAATCTTCTCACCCCCCCACACACACCTTTGGCCTGTACCCCAGTTCTTGTATGCATAAATAAATCTTTAAGAAAAAAAGAACTGGCATAGAACACACTTATTTGCTTTTCCCTCTAATCCTTGCTTCTCGCTGGCCCTCTTCGTATTCAATAGTAATCATTTATTGAAAAATGATTATAACCTGGACCAAAATGTTAAAATCACAGTCATAGCATACTGATTTGCATAATTAAAATTAGTAGAAAGTTCTTTTTTTTCTACTGAATATTCCACATTACAGCTTTTCCAAATGTACTGACAATAAGAAAACATTTCTTGGAAGTATCTCAACAATGGAAATTACACTTACACTGATTACATTTACCATCACCATGTATAGTGGGAGCCTTCATAATGCCAATGAGATTATTTACTTTTGCAGACATCATTATGGTGACTTTGACAAATAAAGCCACATCTTCTAAGACTGCTCAAAGCATCACACTGTCCTCTGCTTGATTAGAAGAAGGGATCATAATAGAATAAGTTTCTACTTAAAGTCAAATTAAGTTGTTCCACTTTCAAGTGAAAAGATGATTATTACGGCAATTAGAAAGAAGTGGACCTTGTGAAAACTTTCAGTTTTCAATCCTACATATACAAAAGTAATTTCAGCCCTGAATTATGGAATCTGGAATCTATGTTTCTTGCAGAGAGAAATGAAGTAAGGCCTAAACTCATTGGTTTGGATTGTTCAGACAGAGAACATAGGGAATACAGTGTTGGTAGTTTGAGGTTTTACAATGTAAACTCACTTATATATACTGGTTCTCTCAGTTTGTCATAGAGTATGACCACACAAATGTAAATTATTTGTGAAGCAAAATTGTTTTCCCTGTGGTTTTTCTATGCCTTACTTTGATGGAAATTCATTTTGACTAAGACTTTGTTACTAAGACAGTAGAGTGGTCCTCTGGTTCACCAGTGGCAGTCATAGAGGAGAGTAGGGTTATAATCTGTATGCCCTTTACATTTGCAAGCACCAAGCTGCAGGCAGGACAAAGAGTATTCTATTCACTTGTTCCTTTATTTAACATTCTAATAATTGATGGGACATTGTAAAGGGAAGGCAGTATACTAGGCACTAGGCAAACATAACAAACGAAACCATAACCCTGTCCTCCTGAAATGTTTTCTCAAATTCTTATGCGTTAGGTTTTGCATTAATTTTGTCTTTCTATGTATTGCCTAAATGTGTATCTGGTCACAATAACTAAAAGGAGACTTAACATATGATAAATCACAGCTGTTGTGCAGGACGTCTGCAGAAGCAATGGGCAAGATCCAAGGGGTTGATGCTAGGAAAAACTTGAGACACACATAAGATGCAATCAAACTTCTAACTCAAGAGTATTAGTTTCATATTTCACAACTCTGCTTTGGCTGTCACATCTTCCCTAAACGAATCTTGCCTAGGGTTAGGATAAACTAGGATAACATTCCCATCTCCACATCCTTAATACAGTCTTATCTGCAAAGTCCCTTTTGCTACATAAGATAATATATTCCCAGGTTCTGAAGATTATTATGTGCACATCTTTAGGGGTCATTCTTCTACTACACAAGGCAAAGCAAATAGGAAAATAAAGTTTGCCACTTTCACACCCAGTATTGTCCTTGGAAATACGGCAGAGGGTTCCTCTGAGTCAACTAATTGCAAATTTGTTTTCTGCTCCAAGATGGTATACTTTAACTGTCCCCCTTCCAAAAGAAAAAAATATATATATGGTGGACCAGTTATGACGCCCTGTAACTCAAGATAACACCATTTTGTCCCTCCCAAGTCAACAAACTAAAACCCCGGATACACTGACATCCCTCTTAAATGAACTTAATGTGCCAATTTCCATGAACAGAAACTTTATTAGAGCCAACTTTTCCTGCCTCCTAGCAGAACTAAACAGATTAATAGTTTATGGGCTGGCTATAGCTTTCCTTTCCATGGTGTGGGGCTATGGAGCAATATTTAGCAAATTTGTCCTAATTCTTGCAGACTTAGGTAACACACTCTCCTCTGATACAGATTATAAGCTGATGCCTAGCAATGAATAACAAACATTTCCATTAGAGATAAAAAGCCACTGAGTAGCCTTTTCTCCCAGTAATGGTAGAGACTAGAATTGATATACTCAGGCCACTTGTACGTGAGAAAAAGGGAACAATTTGGTGTTCATCTTAGTTTAAAATAAAGAGAAGATTTTTGCTGCTGGCCATTAGGTACTAACAGGTACATGATTTACCTTTCTGCCTAAAGCAAATACTTAAAACCAGAAAACACGCCTCAGACAAGGAGAGCAGGACTCTAAGTCCTTAATTGCCCCAGTCTACAGGTCGCTGCAGTTTCCAGCTGCATCTGAAAGAGGGTGGCTGCGGCCTTCGGCCTCTGAGCCGACCTACATTTCCTCAAGTTACCTTCTCCCTCCCATGGGTTAACTCACTAGGCACAGCAACCCTCAGGGTCTCCCTTGACCAGCTGGCAGAAGCCACGCCCAGCGCGGCGCGTTCTCGCGTGACGGCGTGACCGCAGCGCTGACGTCACCGTCGCGGAGGCGCTCGCGAGACTAGCGGCCGGCCGGCGCGAGCGGCGGCAGTTTGCCGAGCGCGGCTCCTCTGAGGAAAACAGACGTTAACTCGCCGTTGGCCTCCTGCCGCCGACATGAGCGACCAGGATGGGGGCGAGAGACTCCCTCTCCCCCGAACCAGCGGCCGCACGACCCCCGACCAGGCCTCAGGAGACCCGGGCTCACCCCAGTGCCTGGAGCTCCGTGAGGAAACCGAGGCGTCACAGGTGACGGCGGGGAGCGGTGAAGGGTGCGCGGAGCGGGTCGCGCTCCCACCGCCTCCCCAGGTGATGGAGGAGGGCGGCGCTCCCCAGGGCCCCTCGAGCTGTGGACTTTCCCTCCGGGTCAGAGTTGGGGCACTTGGCGGTTCCGTAGGCACCGAAGCGGGGCCAGACGAGGCTCTTCCCGCGGGGGTGATGGGAGCAGCCGCGGGGTCCGTGGCCGCGGACGGCCGCCTGACAAGAGTCCGTCGGGCTGGAGAGCCGCGCGGCCTGGGTGTGGAGAAGGCCCTCGAGATCTGTGGCGCAGAGAGGTCGGGCTCTGAGGTGATGGCGGGGGCGAATGCGGAGAAAGTAAAGCCGGAAGCGTGCAGCATCGTTCCAGCAGGAGAAGGCGTCGTGGGGGAGGAGGTCGTGGAGGAGATGGAGGTGGAAGCGAGGTCGGTGGAGGAAAGCCGAGGGGTGGAGGAGGTGCTGGCGGCAGGGCCCCGCCCCCTGCGGATCGACCTCCGCGTCAACCCCCTGGAGGCCATCCAGCTGGAGCTGGACACTGTCAACGCTCAGGCCGACAGAGCCTTTCAACAGCTGGAGCAGAAGTTTGGGAGGATGCGTCGGCACTACCTGGAGCGGAGGAACTACATCATTCAGAACATCCCGGGCTTCTGGGTCACTGCCTTTCGGAACCACCCCCAGTTGGCGCCCATGATTAGGGGCCAAGATGCAGAGATGTTAAGATACATAACCAACTTGGAGGTGAAGGAGCTCAGGCATCCTAGAACCGGCTGCAAGTTCAAGTTCTTCTTCCGAAGAAACCCCTACTTCAGAAACAAGCTGATTGTGAAGGAATATGAGGTCAGAGCCTCTGGCCGAGTGGTGTCTCTCTCCACTCCGATCATATGGCGCCGGGGCCATGAGCCTCAGTCCTTCATTCGCAGGAACCAAGACCTGGTCTGCAGTTTCTTCACCTGGTTTTCAGACCACAGCCTTCCAGAGTCTGACAAGATTGCAGAGATTATCAAAGAGGACCTGTGGCCAAATCCACTGCAGTACTACCTGTTGCGTGAAGGAGTCCGAAGAGCCAGACGTCGCCCAATTAGGGAACCAGTGGAGATTCCCAGACCCTTTGGGTTCCAGTCTGGTTAAGCTTTGTTCTCCGAAATATTGCACAAGCCCCCCGACCCCCACCCCCATTTCTTGCTCAACCTGTCTTGGGCAGCAGAAATGGGTATGGTTGCCTTTTTTTTTTTCTCTCCCTGACATCTGCAGCCTTTTTCATCCAGACATTCAGTTCTCCACCTCAGGTTTGGGACCTTCATGGCCGCCGTCCTCCACTTTCACATGCCTTCATGCTGTTCTGCATTACTGTTACGTGCTGCATGGTCATAGTTCACATCTAAGCCAAGCAAATGTAGATTGTCTATCTGTACTGTTGTTCCTAGGGCCTGGGGTCTGGTTCTTACCACGTGTATTCTAATTTTGCCTCGGAGCCCATTCTACCCTTGCGCTGCAGTACAGGCTTGTGAACAGTTGCTGGGCATTAATGATAGATATCAAGGGACAGCAGCAGTGGGCTCCTTGATCTGTGACTTACTGTTACACCTGTGCTCTTTTTGTACTTTTGGTCACCTAGTGCTGCCTGCTCCTGGCTCTGTCCACCTCCACTGGCTACTAGCTAATGGATGAACATCTTCAGACTCTTTTCCTCCTCATTGTCTATTTTCTGGTAAACAAGACCACTTCCAGGTTTTCTGTCAGCACACAGAAGACCCATTTCTCTTCCCAAAGGTCTCCCCTGCCTTGATTCCTCATCCTCTCTTCCCTCCACCCACATCATCTAAGAATCCTGATGACTATAAGACAGGTGGTTGAGGTGATAAGTTAGACTCTCTCCTCATGGTAAGGCTAAGGATGGTATCCATTACCAGGCTTTTTCAGCCTCAACTAGTGAATGCACACAAAAACCTAGGTACCTTTATGTGCCTCCTTTCTTCATGCTAAAGTACACTTGGTCTATTCTGTTTAAAAAAAAAGTGATAGCTTAGAAAATCTGCAGAAGCAGGCCTTTTAATTTAGCTCTTTTCATTATTTTCAGAAATAGGTTGTCCTGTAAAGTAGACTGCCTTAGATTTTCCTCATCCCCAGCCTCTGTACCCCCTTTTAGCAACACCTAGGGGATTTAAAGGGAGACAGATCTAGATGGAATGGGAAGTAATATCTAATTCTTAGTATATGGAAGAACTAAAGAGATTGTGACGGATACCCTAAGCAGTGGGAACTGAGTAAAAGGCCACAGGCAAAATGAGCCATGTAAAAACTGGGCCTAAAATTGACTGAGAGGGTCTCCAAGGCAGAGGTGCTTTCTCTGTCACTAGTGATGGGAGGAGAAACATTTTTCTCAGCATTTTTAATGGGAGAATTGAAGCTGGAGTTTTAAATATGTTACCTCTAGAAGAGGTCTTAAAACACAACTATGGGTGCATTCTTGTTTTCATTTGACTTAATTTATTCAAAAGATAAATACCTTGTCCTTTATTTCACTAGTATTTAGTAAAACACTGTTATTTTCTCTGTTTCTGATTACCAGGAAAGTTGAACTGTACAGACTTTTCAATTTCAGTTGGGAACATTTGGGAATGTTCCTGTACAACAGATATATAAATGAATATTTGTAATGATTTTCAACTTGTTTCTCTTTAAACTGTCTTCCTAGAAATATAATTTGAATAGCTTGGTCTTGTCAGATTCTTAAGACTTTGGAAATTGTCTACATGGAAAAATAACTTACAAATGAGTGTGATTTGGTTAACTTAATAATTTGTTCTGGTAACAATTTAGGATTGATGTCTCTTTTCCTAAATCGATTTAATATTTGTGAGACTGCGTTGTCAAATTCAGTGTACGATTGGCATATTTGTCTTATACGCATGATGGTAAAATAAAAGCATGTTACTCTGCTAGATTTCTTAAATTTCACACTGCCTATAGCATGCTTAATGAAATTGTTCAAGATAACATTAGAATTAAAGTTCTTAAGTTGCATTATTCCAAAAGTACAATTATAGGGCTTTCTGTGGGGTTTTATTGCTATTGTTTTACTTCAGAATGTTATCAGTGCCACCTGGTGATGTCACTTTTTTTCCATATAACCACCATCCTCTCACTTCAAATCCTCCCTTTCTTTCTCTGGAAGTGGTATTTTTAGGTCATTCAGACTCTTTTTTAAAAAAATTCACTTGTATATTTGATAGGCAGAAATTCTAGAGATACTATCATTAGTGACAAACTCTATTCCCATAGTTTCTGAGCTGTAAAAATTCTTTACGCTTTAAATCTCGCCATCTTCTGTGTTTCAAATGATTCAGACGTGTCAATAACTTCTCTTTGGGGAAGATGAAATTCTTTATGTACTTGGTGTACTTTGTAGGGAACCTCTGTTCTAGAAAATAACACATAATTTATTATAGTGAACTCCATAAATGCTAAGCATTTAGACAGGCCCTGGCAAGATAAGAAGATAAAGCCCATTCCCTTTTAAATAATTGGGGAAAGATGATAGGCAAACATTTGACACAGTGGTAGAGTGAAAATGTAAAGGTAGCTTTTCACATGTTTTTTCATCTCCCTTTCCAGTTTGAAATCTTTGTGAAAGCAGAGATTGGGGAGTCTTTTACATCCCTCACTACATCTAGCATAATGTTTTTGTACATTATTGTCAACAGATAAATATTTGTTGAATGACAAAATGAACAACTCAAATGGAGAAAAAGAACAAAATAACCCAGTACCCAGAAGGACTTTTGATGAGGTCATGGGAAAATGGTTAAGGCATCTGTAAAACCTAAGTTAAACTTCCAAAAAGTTGCAAAACTTTTTCTTAAATAACATCAGATTTCTCATTTAAGTAATGAGAAAAGATCTTAATACCGTGACATTTAACCTTTCATTTGCCATCCTAACAGAGCGTTACTTAAATCGGGATAAGTTTTTATGTCCTTTTGTTTTTATCTATTTTAAGATGACTACGCTGGAAGAAGGGTTTAGACTTTATTTCTGAAAATAATGAAAATCATGCTGTCCAATGTAGTAATCACTAGCTACCAGTGGCTATGAGCACGTGAAACATGGCTAGTTCACATTGAGATCTGCTAGCAGTATAAAGTACACACTGGATTTAAAAATAATGTAAATTTTTTATTGCAAATTGAATAGTTTTGATATAGAAAGTTAAATAAAATTCACTTAGCATAATCACAATTCATTTAAAACTTGTATTGTTTTATTGAGGTAACATTGGTTTATGACAGTAAGATTTAGAGATACAGGTTCACACCTTTTCAAATGTATGTTACCACAATCCTCCACTGTAGTTGATTGGGCGCCACTCTCCCATTTATTAATATGGGAGGCCTACATTTGTGAGCAGTATTTATTCCCTATGTTCCTGAGATGCTTTGAGCTCTGATGGGCCACCTTGATCTATATCCTGATTTTAGAAATTCTAGGGAAAATTTCCATCAGGTCACTTTAGAAAACTTGATCTTTTTTTTTGGCTTCACTTTTTCCAAAAAGATTTGCATTTAACCTAACTTCCTTGAGGACAGGACAAAATGGTCCTATTAAAATAAAAAGGGTCACTTAGGTAAGCTATTGATTTTTATTATATGCCCGTTTAGTGGCCAGAAAAGATAGGGAAGACACACTTGGTTTGCGATTAAATCAGTTTTACAATATTCCCTAGTGTGCTGGCCAAAATAAATAGTCTCTGAGCCTAAATTTCCTTATCGATAATGCAGGGATGATAATACCTCTATTGTAAGTTATATTGCTCCAGGATGTATTTGGAGAAAAACATCTGGAACTTACTATGTGCCAGGTACTGTGCTAACAGATATGTATTAGTATAAAGGTTAAAGATTGCAAAAATGCCAGACACACTGTGTGGCATGTAATATATAATTAGTAAATAATAATTTTCACTTACCTTCCTCTCAATTTTAATTTCTCATTTATTTACATCTAGACAAGTTGTCATCTATCCTAACATGTCTCAAACCTGACTGTTCCTTATTAATTAGTTGAGGAGCTTTGAAAAAAATCCTGATGGGCTTTACTTCAAACCAAAGTACACCCAAACTTACATACAGATTTGAGAATCATGAATCACCTTTCCTTAGACTCATTTGAGGAAATATACATTCTCAAGTTTTGTTAAATGTACTCAAATTTTCTGCCTCAAAATATTCAACTAACTTCAAAGAGCCTGACATATAATAGTAAGCTCTTAGCACCTTTGCTCCATATTTTGACCTATGTAATCATGCAAAATGGAATTAGCCCGATTCCACAAAAAGCTCTTCCTCATATTCTTTCCCTTAGACTCTTACCCCCACCAAGAAGCTATATTCCTTCAATGTTCCTCATCCATGCTAGTTTAATGAGTCATGCCAATGTTCTTCGTACAGTCTGATGCCCAAGACTGAACAAAATAGCCTCCAAATAACAGAATGGGTTTCATAATGCTTTTAAATGGATCCTGGGAAAACAGTATTACCCTTTTTACTCCTAATAGGATCATAATTTACCAAACGCTTTAAAGTTCTAAAGCATTCATGTGCTGAGTTATACTGCTTTATTGTGTCCAACCGCTGACATGTATCTATATTAATTTTTACTGTTAAATTAGGTTAAATTAAATTCTTTTAACCTATTCACATTTACAGGATTATTATTTGAGTAATTTTCCCCCTAATTTCATACCATTTACAAATCTGGTGTGCAGCTGGGTCATTGTTGAATTTCTTGCAGGAACTTTTCTTTCAGAGGGACACATTTTCTAGGATACAGTTTTCCCATCAACTATGGATCCATCATTCTCTAGTCGATATATAACTTTAGTTTAACTTTGTCATAGGACATCAGCAAGCACATGTCACATGTCTTTTAAGAATTAAAGAAAGATGCCTTCTTCCAGGCTGGTGGATTAGAAAGGTATCAGTTTCTCCCAGTTGCTGTCCTTAAGTACAGATGTACTTTGTCTTTCAAATTCCCTTATCCAAAAAGCAAATGACTTTTTAGTGATCTTTTGTTTTCCTCTGTTGATCACTCTTGCTTTTGAAGGCAGTATTAATGTTTTAATATTACTGTTCTGTGGGTTTGAAATTTTTCAAAATAAAATAGTTGAAGATATACTTAAATGATACACATTATTTTGTTTAATTAGTCATCAAAAAAAAGCCTGTTGAAACTACAAAAATGCAGTTAAAGGTCTATTAGTCATCTTGATCACTTCCTTTCAAGGTGATAACTGTCAATATGTTGTTTTATAATTGGAAATTAAGGGAGGTAATAAGTAGGAAGCACATTATGAAGTTATCAGTGATGGGTTATTTCACACAGTTCTACATAGATCCAGAATTGCCCCAATTGAACTACATATCTAGAAACAAATTCATTTTGGGATTCATGTACAAACTTCTAGAAATGTGGAATTTTTTAAAATATTTATGCATACAAGAGCTGGGGTACAAGCCAGAGATGTGGGGGGTGAGAGGATTCACCAGAGACAGTGGGGAACAGGACAGGCAGATTGACCAAAGTACACTGCTGAGGGGAGCAGCGGGCGAGTCAGGAGAGGTCTGCTGCGCCATGTGGGTTGCTCCCTAGCCCGCTGGGGATCGAACTCGTGGTGCAGAGGCTGCAGATTGCGTCATAGTGTGGTGCTTAACCCATTGTGCCACCAGGGAGGCCCCTAGAAATGTGGATCTTCTTGAGATTTGGTTTTAACAAATGCCTGAGGCTGAGGCCCATTGGTGGAGTTCAGGGTGTCATTACTGAATTTCCCAGCAACTGAAAATCATGATTCATACACATGAGTCTGTGAATATCTTCTAAGAGAGGACTATTTCCAAGTCTTCATTTCTTCAAGCTTCAGATTCTGAAAGTTCAGGGCAGCTTAGTACCAGCAAATGAATGCCTGCTTTCCAGTCAGCATATATATCCAGTTTGAGTTCAGTTGCATTTTCTTGATAACAATGCTATTAAAATATTGAATGCTATGCATTTAATCCCTACCACCACCTGTTGTTTTGTCTAAATCATTTGTTACAGGGCAGGTTCTTTTTGCTCTCCTAAGAATCCAAGATGTGGGCCTCCTTGGTGGTACAAGGGGTTCGGTCTCAACACTATCAAGCTATCAGCAGCCACTGGCAGCAGTTCAATCCCCAGCCAGGGAGCTAACCCACATGGCCCAGCAGACCTCTCCTCTCTTGACGGCTGCTCCCTTCAGCAGTGTATTTAAGTCAATCTGCCTCTTCTGCTCCCCACTCAGTCTCTAGTGAATCCTCTTCCTCCCCCCCCACTCTGGCCTATACCCCAGCTCTTGTATGCATTAATAAATAAGATGAATCTTGAAAGAGACCAAGATGTTCATAATACTTTGTTATTGTTAACAAATTTTAAAAGATTTTATTTTTGCGAAGAACTGGGTACAGGCCAGAAGTACAGGGAGGGTGTGAGGATTCACCAGAGACAAAATGGGGAGCAGCACAGGCAGATGTACTGAAATACACTGCTAAGGGGAGTAGCAGGTGAAACAAGAGAGGTCAGCTGTGCCATGTGGATTAGCTCTTTGGCCAGGGATCAAACTCAGGTCATCACCGTGGGCCTTCTCGGTGGTAGAGCTGAGACTTAAACCCTAGGCCAACAGGGAGGCCCTATTTTTGCCTTTATTAAGTATAATCTATATACAGTATAAGAATGTTCATAACAGCTTTTTAATAATAGCTCAAAACTAGAAACAAACCAAATGCCCACCAGTAGGTGAATGAATAAATTATGGTATATTTATACAATGGAACATGACTCAGTAATAAAAAGGGACAAACTATTAATCACAGTAACATGGATGAAGCTCTAAAACATTTTTAATTGAAAAAACACCAGAATACACATTATATAATTCCATGTATGTGCAGTTCAATTACATGGAAAGCTGCTCTAGAGCAACAAAAATCCAAAGAGTAGTTGCCTCAGGGTTGGGGAGAGTAACTAGAAAAAGTGTGAACTGCAGAGATGATAGTAATGCTCCACATTTTGATTTGGGTGATGACACATAGGTATCCACTTATCAAAATTTGTAAAAGTGTACACTTAGGATTCATGCATTTTAGTGGATATAAATTATAACCTCAAGAAATAACAAATGTAAAACTGTTGAGAATAGAAAAACTGGAAATCGTTTGTCCCGCTCCAGTGCTTTGACTTCTCTCCTGCGCTTAGGTAAAAGTTGCTGACTTGACTTTTACAAGATTTTATTTGCTATTTCTTCTTAAAATTATACAATTTCATTAAATATTGGATGTTAAAAAATTTTTTCTCCCTTAACTCCAGGCCAAAATTTCACTCTCTCTAGATACCCCTGACTTACAAATTAAGAAGTTCTATCATCAGTCTGGTCAATGAAGAAGCCTTCTCAGGACAGTGTCCCGTAAGTAGCACTGACATTCTCAGAGAACACAATCACGGGGCATGCTTGGGAATCTCTCTGAATTTCCTTTTCTATTTCTGCTTAATCAGATGCCTTTAACAAGGTTATGTGATCCTCTTTACTCAGGCCTTTTCTTTGGCTCTTCTTCAGCTCCAAACTAATGTTATCTATTATTACCATAAAGCAGTAGATCTCAAAGAGTGATTTCCATACCAGCGGCATTAGCATCATCTGAATTTTGTTAGCTATACAAATTCTAGAACTCCACTTCTGACCTATGCCTAGCAACTGTGTTTAACTAGTGCATCAGGTCATTTTGATGCACTGGGAACCATTGCTATAAACTTATTGCTGTTTCTGCTTATTTCTAGTTGATTCACTTTCCTGATTTTAGTGATAATGAAAATAAAACATTTACCTACATTTTTTATCAAAATTGACTTCCTTGCCCCAAGGAGTCACAGTTTGAGCCTTGGAAATCTAATTCTGCTTCAAGAATATATCTCTATCCTCATAATCTCAGCAAATTTTTAAATATATTAGGAATTTCCATGCTCAGCAGATTTTTAGAAATATTGGGACTTTCCATGTATTTTCTCATTTTACATAAGTAATCCTAGTTTTGGTACCACTTCCCATTTAATAAGGAAATGGAAGCTCAACAAATTAAAGTATATTAACTAAAATGTCAGCAACACAGGTTGCATTCAATTAAGCTTTCTTATTTCAAGACAGAGCTTCTTCCACCCTTTGCAGCCACCAGTAATTGTTATAAAAATAATGCAATTAAGTACAATTATCTTGTTCTTGGTTGAAAGCGATTTTTAATCCATTCTGAATAACTTTAAAAGGATATATTTATCTCTATATACCTATTTATGCTAATTTATAGAGGGTTTCCAAATCCTGTCAGATTACAACTACATCCTGTATATTAATATGTAATTTTTATATATTATATAATCTGTATTTCATTGCTTGGTTTTACTCTCTCACAATAGAATTGCCAAAGTTGTTCAATATATTAATATCCTTCTAGAAAATGGATGCTATGATGTAAAGTACTGATAAAACTAATAAATGTAGAAGATGCATATTATTGAGGTTTGAGTCAATAGAGTAATTACTTATAAGAGGCACTTAAACTTAATTTTCATTCTCTTTACCAAGTTCTAACTTCTCTTAGCACAGTGCAATTAAGAGTTGTATTAAGGGCCTCCCCTGGTGGCGCAGCAGTTGAGTGCTGGGCTGCGAGGCTGCCCGCAGCCTCTGCAGCGCAGGTTCAGTCCCTGGCCGCTGGTGAGGGTCCCCCCCCCCCACACACACACACAAAAAAAAAGAGCTGTATTGAGGGCCTCTCCCAGTGGCACAAGGGGTTAAGCACCTTACTCTGAAGCTATCTGTAGCCTCTGCAGCACGAGTTCAATCCCAGCTGGCCAGGGAGCTGCCCACATGGCACAGGGTCCAGACCTCTCCTGTCTTGCCAGCTGTTCCCCTCAGCGGTGTATTTCAGTCTGCCTGTTCTGTTCCCCACTCTATCTCTGGTGGATCCTCTTACCCCCCATGCCTCTGGCATTCACCCCAGTTCTTGTATGCATAAATAAATAAATCTTTAAAAAAAAAAAAGTTGTATTGAAATTAGCCTAAGAACTGGTGGGTACGTGGTACTCTAGGTGCTATCATAGCCAATCATTTTAAATAATGGTCAAACTTCTCTGAGTTTATTCTTGGGTCAGTTTTAACAGATTCTGTCCAATTAGCTACTAAAACTATGGCCATCGCATGACTAATTTTTTACTTAAGGCATTTTATGAAAACTTTAAATAAGACATGGAAAAATTTCATAAAACATTTTAAGCTCCAGCAGTAAAAGTTTTTTCCAATCACTTGGAAATAAGTCTATAATCATTTAGAAATAACTAGCACATTGTGGAGAAGAAATATTAATCTGTTCCAAATGTTCATGTCTTTCTCAGGTTATTTAAATTACATCTACTTGGTCCAATTCAACTCTCTTTCATTTACTGCTTCTTTCTTTAGGAATGTCTTTCACCTTTGAGCCTGTATGCATTTATAGTTTCATAACAGAATTTGACATTGATTTTATATTACCTGCACTATAGTCTATTTAGTGTAGGTAAATCTTAAAAAAATAATTTCAAAATTGTCAAGTCAGCTTCTATTCCAAATCCATTGGGATAAACACTACACATACCTCATTTCATCTTCATGGATGTCCTTAAGTCTTTATGGTGTTCATTTTATATATGAGAAAATTGTGGCTCAGAGAAGGGATCAGCTCAAACTGATAGCTATTAAGTGGAACAAGTGAGATTTGAAGCGATGATCTGTGTTTTCCAATGAACATGCCTTTTCCCAGTTTATTAGTCAGGGAGACTCTACTGTGAAATAGAGCCAATAGGAAGAGAATATGAGGAATTGGCTCCTGTGATTGTGGGGGTTGATCTGCTGTCTGCAAACTAGTGAACCAGGAACGCTGGAAATAGTGTAATGCCAATCTAAAGCGAAAGAACCACTGGAGCTGATAGTGTAAATACCAGTCCAAGGGCAGACTTGTCCCAGTTCAGAAGCAAAAAAGGTGAATTCCTCCTTCCTCTACTTTTTTGTTGTACTCAGGCCCTCACCAAATTGGATGATGCCCACCCTTTCTGGGAAGGACTATACAATGTCCTAGTTCACCAATTTAAATGCTAATCTCATACTGAAACACCCTCACGGACATACCCTGAAATAATAGATTTAATCTGGACAAGTCAGGTTGACATATAAATTTAACCATCATACCCAATATATGGCTGTGAGGTCTTTAGGATCAGGAACTTCCTCTCTTCCTTCCCCAATGATTGGGGAAAGCAAGGTCATATTACAGTTTTCTGCTCAACATTATCACAGGGAGACATAACTACCAAATAAGCTTGTCTGTGAAAACTTTGTATCAGTAATATCTTAAGTGAAATAAAGATTATGACTCAATATTAATATATATAGCACCAAACATGTTAAAAAGGCATGCTGCTAATTCTTTTAATGGATGTATACAGTCTATAAAATTGTCATAAATATTCTCCTTAAGAGTAGTTTAAACTTTTAACACCAAAGGCAAAGGAAGGAGTCATAATATCTTAAGACCACTTCCTCCCTCTAGTGACTAGGAGTGGAAATACCACATAATAACACATTTAAAAAACTGATGCTCAATGGGTGTATGGGAAATTTGCCAGTTATTTTGGTTATTACAAGGAATGTGAATGCTACTGGCATTTGTTAGTGGCATTAGGGATGCTAGAAACCCTACAATGGTGAAGGGAAGTACTCTATAAAGTAGTTATTCAGCGGTAAATATTCACGTAGATGAAAAATCTATTATTTAAGCCCAAAACCTGGCACTATTTTACAGAGGAAAACAAAATATTTTTGCACTGTTTTTATACACTGTATTTTAAAAAGTCATGCCTACTCTAAAAACAATGGTGGTGAGATACACCATTAACTAAGAGTAATGAAAACAATTGCCCATTGAACTCTGAGAGTTTTCTAAATTTTTTCTTTTATACTTATTAAAGACTTTCTACTTTAAATATAAATATTTTTATATATCACCCATGGGTATACATAAAAAGTAAATTACGAATGAAATAGGTTTTTCATTAGTGTAATGTTTTTTCCACTTAGATAATAAATCTTAGTTACATAGTAATAACCTTAATCACTTTGCTCAAAATTACTGGTGTCCCTATTCTGTCCTATAGCACTGTCTTCTGATCCTTGAAGAATTCTGATGATGAAAATATTTCTTAAAAGAATGTTTTACCACTTAAAGAATACTTTTTTCTCACCTACAAATATCGTTACTTAAGTTCTCACAACAAAGACTAGCCCAGGACCAGGTGAATTCCATCAATCAAACGGTTAAAGAAGAATTAAGTAACACCAATCCTTCTCAAGCATTTCCAAAATACTGACAAGGGAACATTTCCAGACTCATTTTATGAGGCCAGCATTATACAGAAACCAAAGCTAAACAAGGGCACAACAAAAGAAAATTCCCCCCAAAAAATTCCAGACCAATATCCCTGATGAAGATAGATGCAAAAATCTTCAAGAAAATACCAGCGAATTGAATTCATTAATACATTATAATTGGCACAGAGCTCTTTAAATGCTTGGAATTTCCTAAGCAATAAGAAATTAAAGCTGGTTTTTGTTATTCATAAGTTTCATCCACATCTGAATTTATGTTAATGAGATGCATTTTGGAAGCCCCTAAGGATAGGACTGGTTACCAGAGGATTTAAAGATTGGAGCTTTTTGCCTCAAATGCTGGGAAGGGAAAGGAGCTGGGGATTGTTTTCACTATCAGCAGTGATTTAACCAACACCTCTGTCTTGAAGCCTCTATAAAAAAGGACAGGGTTCACATTTTTTGGGTTAGTGAACATGTGAGGGTGCTGGGAAGCAGACTGGAGAGGGCATTGTAGCTCCTCCCTCATCCCCCCATACCTTGACCAATGCATCACCTCTAAACAGATGTTCTGAGTTGTATCCTCATAATAAAACAATAATCTGGTAAACTGTTTTCCTCAGCTATCTGAGCCATTCCAGCAAATAACTGAACCCAAGGAGAGAGCATGGAAACCGCAGACTTACAGTTGGTCAGTCAGAAGCACAGGCGACAACCTGAACTTACAGTTGGCATCTGAAGTGGGGATTGTTCTGTGGGATTGAGCCCTTAATAGCTGGGTCATGATGCTACTTCCAGATAGTGTCTGAATTGAGTTAATTTGTAGGACACTGTTCTGCAACCATCCCAGGCCAGGTAGGTTCATCGTTGGTTCAGTCAGCTTGAAAGAGAAACTTGGAGACCTTGGCATCATCCCCACAGGTTAGGGGAAACAAGCC